AGAGCCGATACCGTCGTAATAATTACAGTTACGCTTATTCGCAGTTATCTTCACAAAAATGTCTCGCTCATAAATATAATAACTATAATAAGAAAATTAATAATAATAATAAAATAAATATAATAAGAAAATTGCATCGAAAAAATCACTATGCTGTTATACACTGAAATATCTACTTATGAACGAAAAAATTTAAAAAACGCAGATATTCGAATGTACAATAGAATAGTCATTTAGCAAGAAGCCTGAAGGTTTATTAAAATATACATGTCCCTTCATCGGTGAAAATTAAGAATCCAACTAACTTGTTAAATATGCGTACATATTTTTAGATTCTTCTAATATAATTCATTACGCAAGCGAGAAAAGGAAATATATGTACTAGCGCCATTTATTCACTGTTTCTTCATCTTCATCGGTGAATGCAAATACAGAGGATACACTGTCCCCCTTTCGATTCTCTCTGATTATTAGATTAATAGTTCTACGAGCACGATCACAAACGAAATTTGCCTTGCAAAGCGTATTAGACCTATCGGGATTATGATCGGAGAACTGTAATCGGAAATCACATCTCTAGTAGTGCATTACGGTCAGGTTATTAGTTCCCTCAGAAATGTAGCCAGAGCACTGTCACGTTGGGAAAATCTCGAGAGGGAAATCACGGGGAGAAAAATCTCTTGTAGAATCGAACGATGAGAATGTTGCTCGCATGGAATCGCAGCTAGAAAATCGTGATCGGTAAGAAGAAAACTTTTACCGAGCATCATGATCAAAATCTCCGACATTCTCACCGTCTCAGAGCGGAGAACATTAAGCATTGTTACTCATCGATCAGCATGTTCGAAGCACAACTGTCTGAATTTCGATCAGCGATGCGCGAATCTCGGGTCTCGACTCTCTGATGGCAATACGTAAATCGTAAGAAGCATTTCGTTTACGTATCCTAAGTGTCAACTATATCGTTACTCTCCTGTTCACCGTCAACTTCTCCTTACGTCGTATACAGTAACGCGTTCGCTTCGATCGCCATACTTATTAATAAATCAACAGAGGAAAATAAAACAATTGCATAATTACACCCCGTTAAGTCTCATTTGGCTGACGAATTGCACGCTTCAAAAAACAAAACTTCTATATCGCCTACCGTGTGCCGACTCTGCAAAAAGTACTCTCATTTTAATTGATTCATCGATTTGTTTGCCTTCGAAAAGCATTGAGATTATTTCTTGGTTTCTTGATTTTAGCTTTGTATCTTGATTTGTCAGGTACGATCACACAAATTATTTCAACTAAATCATCACAAAATAGTTGATAAATTGTTTGTGGAATTATTATTATTGTTTTTAATTTTTAATTTCAATTATTCATTAAAAACCCCTGCATTTGTAGAAAAGCTAACACAATCTATCTTTTGTTTTTATTCTTTCTTCGTATCCTGCTTTGAAAAGCTAGAAACCTAATGTTAATCGAGAATACGTATTTTAAACCAATAAAATTTGTACTAAAGTACGCAAGTTATTTCCGACATTATCTGCAAAATCGCAACTGTTATTAATAATTATATATTATCTGTAATTGTTAAAATCGTTATAATGAACTTTTCAGTAGTCGAACTCAAGTAATAAGTCTAAATACTTTTGAATAGATACGAAAAAGAATAGATAAAATAATCACACATCGTGATGTATGTATTTCATGACATAAAATAAATCCACATCTTTATCTTTCAGTATCGTAGGAAGTTGAAATAGCAGGTCGAGAAGGAAACGTTTCGAAAGCAACTTTTAGTATACAATAAAAATGTGTTACTTTTTTATTTGGCATTGCACCTTTTTGTTGATGATTTGAGGCAGAAACATATCGAATTAGTAATCCGTGCGCAGTGCGCAGACCTGTTTGGAACGTCTCTCCGTGGCTATCAAAATGGGAGTACTTTTTAATACCACACTACATAATATGTATATTAAATCGTCCTGGTAAACACGTATGCATAACGCAACAGCACAACAAGTATATTATTTTTCCGCTATTTAGCCACGTAAATTACTCCCTGTTTACGTAATAATTCGAATATGCACAGGGCCACGGGATATACGCGCGTGCGAATACCATGCGATACGCTGTATCGTCAAAAAACAATGTTCACCTATAGAAAATCGCGCTAAGATGGTTGCGACAATAACAGAGCTGAAAGCTGTTCGCCGTTTCTGTTCAATGCACGTGACTGCGTACGTCAGAAACCGGAAGCTAACCATAATTAACAAGCAAATTAATGGAAGAACAGATTCTTAGTACGCGAGACAATGACACATATTTTTCGTATCGTTCCTTTAGAACTTTCTCAAATTTGTTATTGTCCATTGGGTGCATCGGATGAATTGCAGTAATTGTCAAAATATGTAACACACTTCGCAATTAGTGCGTTTCTCAACATTTTTAAATATGGTGATGAATCTTGTGTAGTATTTTTCGGTTTTTGATAAACTGCTTACTACAATAACGCCTGCAGTTAATGTACAAATTCTAATCACGTGTAAACACTAATGTGTATAGTGAGTTACAAATACCTTTAAGCTCATTCATTTTAGTACTAATATTTCTTGAACACAACAACGAGACGTTGATTGATAGGAAACATTTAATTGTGAATGAAATAGATTCTTCTCTATTAGGAAATAGACTTTGTGTTTGAGTTCAATTTCTGCGAACTTTAATATACTTTAATATACAAAAATTCAGAGTTTACTAATAATATTGTAAATATAAATATTATTGTTACAAGAAGTAAGATCGTATAAGTTTGACATCGATTTTTTCAGAGTAGAAACTTTGTGTAATATTCTTTTCTCTTGATTTCTTTATTCATGTAGAAGCTCCATTCGCAATTAGAGCATTAAACAGAATTTTGCATATTTAAAAGAATTAAAAGCAGATTATCGGCTCACGAATTATCGACACTGCAAGAATTTGATCATAAATTCTTCAGGGAAATAGTCGGTAAGTGGATATAAGTAAAATTTTTGATGGAATTGAAATGTAGAAAACAAACCAACAAATAAACATTTCAAGAATGAAAACTCTTATAAAAGTTAGGATAAAGTAATTTACAACACAATCCAGTAGATTCAGCAGCCCTTACAAAATAAGGAATATTAATAATTTAGGATGAAAGAACAATTTTCGAAGAAATATAAAGTTCATTCTAGTTACTGTTTTATTCGTTAATATATTATACAAATTTGGCAATATAATTTGCTGTTATAATTAAAATTCTAGCAACCGAGTACAAATATGAAATTGTCTTAGTTTCTGTTTTAGCCTGATACTTCTTTACAAACATCAACGATATAAACGAATGTAAACATGTGATTTTGACTTGATCATTGTTGGAAAAGCGGTAGATAAAAATTAAAAATCTTCTTCAAGCACAGCATTCCTATTATGCATCATGATTTCAGAATTACCTAAACACTGTCATCAAACATATTCTATAAACTAGCTGAAAGTAAAATCAACAATTTTATACAGTTAAGAGACGAACAATCTTCGAAACTAAAGCATTGTGATCGTTCTAACAAACATAACTTACTAAAATTAACATAAAATATATAGTCAATGATTAGATGTAAAACATAATCATTTTCGTCAAAAGCTTACGAAATTATTTTACAAATACTCTAAAGAGAAGGCAAAAGATGAGATAAATTGAATAATAAAAGTCAAATCTAACCGTGTATAATATCAGATTCAATTTCATATCAATGTCAACAATGAGCGAGGAAAACATGTTATGTATTCTAAACGAGACATTAAATTGTTCTCTATATTTTCTAGCTTACAAAAAATCTATTTAAAGACTCGTATTAAATGTGTATTTATTCCTCATTGTACTTTCTAATAATATTCCACGGAAAATTAGCTGGAATTTAAATGAATTCATTGCCCGAATAATACTGATTCGAGCAAAGCCACAAATTGCACAGTTTCTTGTTTTCGTTGCGCTCATGCTCGTCGAGGGGGTAATAAATCCAGCTGAGCCCCATTATCCAGAAATACGTAAAATAAGTCAGACAAAATGGTGCAAGAAATTACGAGGATCGCCATGGAAACGAACAGTCAAATGTCGGGCATATCGAATAAATAGCGCTCATCGTTGAAGCACTTGACCGAAAAAATCTGTTTTTACGCTAAATCTTCGAATCTCGAAATGCTCGCAGCAGACTAGTAACTCTGATTTCCGTCAGATAAGCAAAATTGCTTGTAACATTTAGGTGAAATCAAATATACTGCACACGTCGTTAATTTTACGCGTTCATGCGTAACTGAATTAATAACGCGATTGATTGAACACAAAAATTTTAATGTAATCACCGTCGCGAGTATCATTACTTACAAAGTAATCGACAAGATAATACCACATGATCTAAAATGTTTGTTACTGTGTGCAAAATGTAGTTTTTTTCCAAAGTGATTGATTTACGTTTTACGCTTCACGATTTACGTTTACATTTTTATAGATTTTCAAGGCGTTGTATCCTATTTGAATTTATATTATCAATTGTACTTGTCAAAATTATTGTCTTTGCCATTGTTTAAATGTATAATGTTGCGAATTGAATTAAACATCCATCTCGACTGATATTATGATAGTTTTTGGGATGATAAATATTGTTTAAGTGAGAATTTTGTTTTAATTTTCGCCACTTTTCGGCGAACCAGCTAATGAACGATTATTTCAACCAATACACCGGTTGAACACAGTTCGAATCCAATTTCAAAATCGATCTCGCGAATCACTAGGAAATCTGTTCTTGAGTTGAGGCTTCGAATGAAAGCATCAAAAACTAATGATACACTGACGCTATGTAACCTCGCGGTTAAATTTCGCTGAGATTCGAGGAAACAACGACAACAGCTTGTAGAAACTACTTTTAACTATACAGTACAGTAAAATACGAGGCGTGGGGTATCTGGATTTGGAACGAAGCTGTTAATACCTGAAAATTCCTTGCGTCCTGCTGCGGCTTGTATCTGCGAAAAAAATGGAAAAGAATTGTTACATTTAATATGTTTGTTTCCAATCAGGGTTCGTAAAATGATTATTACATTATTTATTTAAAAGAAGCCAAAAAGAATGTAGCAACAATTGCTAAATGTATTTTAAGAAAACTTTTTACCTAATGGAACTGATTCTGCAACAGTAGTTTCATTAATATAGTGTAGTCTCAGTAATTGTAACATTAAAAAAGTTGCTTGCGATTTATAGATCACTAAGATCTGCAATTCGTTCCTTAATTGTCACAGTATTCGAATTAATAATATCGAGATTTATTTTTGATCACTGTACAAAGTACATTACAGTATCATTATAGCACGGATGTTCGTACATTTAAATGGCGTGATAGATAAATAGATTACTATACATTTTTTTGTGACATTTTCACTTTTTGTAGATACTCAATTTTACACACAATACGATACAGAATGGTATAGCGCATAACATTGTACAAGCATCGTACACATTGTTCTCTCAAATCGAACTAAATCTAAATCACAGAAAAATGGAACCTCGAGAAATTACTTTAGATCCCTCTAGGAGTACAAAACAATGACCGATTCGAATTAATTTTGCCGCGATCAAGTTATAAACGACAATAGAATAATTCTGACGATTAACAACTTTCCAGCACGAAATTAAATACATGTACACATTCAGAAGAGTTTTTACCAAAACTGTAGAAGAATTTCCAAATGCTTCCGCTCAGGATTATTTTTAAGTTTGAAAATTAAAAATATTATTTAATAGCAATTTACAAATTGCCGATTATAAAAATGTAATGTTAATTATTTCACATGAATATCTGCAATACCTATTATTTTAGTTATGACTTTTTCAAAGTTATGCCTTACGTTTTCAACCTGCATAACTAAAAAATGCTGAACAATACCGAGGATTAACTTATGACATTACAAGCTTACAAAATGTTACAAAAATTCGAAGTGTGATAACAAGACTACGCATTTTACGCATTGAAGACAAAAATCTGTTGATCAAATGCAAAACATTAAAAACATTTCAATAAAAATACTATGATGAAATATTAATCTGCAGTATCTTAGAACAATAAAATAGTTACTTAATTACAGTGCTACATTAAATCTGTACTGCTATGTACAATGAATAGTGTTATACGTGGGCCATTTTGGATTAATCTATTAATAAGTGAAACAAGTTTCGCGATAAAAAAAAATAATTCAGCTATCGCATATTCAACTAATCGTTAAAGATGTAAATCTAAAACTGCACAATAACATTCTTACAACTTTAATATACAGGATCTCGTCGAAAATACGAAATCAATATTTTCTTAATAAGAAATAAAAAACTCCCTTTTATAAGTAGTTCGTACAGCAAACCATAAGGCTTCAACAATTTCACCAAGGACATTCTAACAAACAGTTAAACTAATTACACGGGCAACTAACCTGTGCAGCAATTTCTCGTTTGTTGAAAGACCAGGCGCCAGCGTCCACCCAATCGTTCTGCTCAGCAGTTTTGGAATCCTCAGTTGCACGCGAGGCGTCTTCCACCATTGTCGGTCTACCGAGAGCCTTGCTCTTTCTCGGCGATTTTGGAACTTGGTTCGCGGGACTTCCCAAGGGACCGGCATCTTGAGAACATTTCGCACCGATCACAGTGTGTCCACCTTCAAACTGCACTGACTTCTTCCTCTTAGCCTTACCGAACTTGGAGGTTGAATCGCTAGGAGATGTTAGCAACGTGTCTTCATCTTTCCTCGTTCCCAAATCCTCGATTACCTCGACAGAATCGTTCAGTCGGGTCGAATGTTCCTCCTCGAGCATGTCCGTAATTGCGGCGCAGCTGCCCTTTGTTCTGGCTGATTCGACCGCACTTGTGACCGAGACCGATGTCTGAACGGTGTCCTTCCGGAACTCGGAGGGCCTACCCTTGATCGCCTTCGCCTCCAGTCCTCTACGAATGCTGAACACCGACTGGTGTCCCGGCATTTCATCTCTATCTAATTTATCTCTATCGTTAGTTTTAGAATCGTTGTCGGTCGTTGCATCGCGCCGAATCTCGTAGTACTTAACGAAGCTTCTAACTCTACCGGGGGTTATTGTTACAGTGTCGCGGGATTGGTCGTCACTTACAGCTACGGATGTAACAGCCCTGTTATTGTCATTATTATTACAATGGGGTTGAGGAATCCTCCTAGCTATGGCACTTTTGGCGCCGCTACCCGTTCTCCTGCTTAAATCTAACTGTTCGCCGACCGGGCCACGGTCATCGAGCTCCTCATCATTATGATTCTCTGCGTCAGTCTTTTCGCTGCAGCTGGCTACCTGTCGAGGTAGCATGGAGCTCTCTGCTGCGCTCATATCGCCCTTCTCATTAGATACGATGTTTTTGCGCGGAAACCTTGACTCGTCGTAAGTCTCAAGTACGTTGCTTGACACTTTTAAGTCATCCTCGTCGTCACCGTGTTCCGATCTGTGTACATCCACCTTGACGATCTCCGTGTGGCCGTTGATCTTCCTGTCAAGGCCGGCTGGAAATCCACTGAGTTCAGTTGTAGATGTGCTTCTGAAGCTGAATTCACCTGACGAATTCTTACCTTCCATTGACGTTCGCATCTGTCTGGAACTTTGCGAAGACCCTGTTGGATTTTTGTTATGACGAGTATAGTGTACCTTTTCTGCTTCATAGATCTCCGATGTCAAAGCAGACGTTTCCTTGTCACTGCTTACTTGTAGGATACCATCGCTACCTTGATTTTCATTGTTTACCGGTCTCAATTTAAGTGTGCTAAAATTTGATAGCAACTCGTTCAGCACGTCACATTTTACCTCGCCTGCGTGCTTTTTGCTCGATTGAAAGTCATTAGGCGATCTTGGATTGCTAACTGAAGTGTCAATCTTCTTCGGGATTTCCTTGGACTTCGTTACTTTCCAGATCTCCGCGCACGTCTTTATCGAATCGGGTAGCTGGCATGCAACTTCGCTTTCTTCCTCGATCATAGGGATCAATTCTTCGTTCATCACCAACGAGGATGATTTCGGATGAGTAGCTACTATCTTGCAACTCGTCGACCCGGCCCAAGTTTCAGCCTCATCTTCACAGAGCATGTTCTCCAAAAATGAGTTCCTCCGGATGCTAACCGGTACGCTACCTACTCGTCTAAGGGGTCCTTTGTTCGTATTCTTCACATCATCTATGTTCTCTCCTAAATCATATTCGTCGAGGTGGTCATCAAGTGCAGCTAAAGATAAAGTAACGGCTTCTACACTATCAGTTTCATCTTTGAAGATCTGACTCGCCAATTCAGAATCATTCGACGAGGAGTCATGACAAACCACACAGCTCCGAAGCGATTCGTTGACGAAAATTTGCCGCTTGTACTGCCGACTCGATTTATCGAATGACTCAGTCATTGCTGCCTCGCAGTTGTCGCATTTTTGTTTTTCAACAGGTAATTGGTCATCTGTATTAATTTGAGTACTGTTCATTAACGAATTGCATCTCTCCTCATTGTTCTTTACCGTTGTCCGATTTTCAGTTATTGTTTGGTTTATTGTCAATTTTTCCTCGCTGGCCACAGGATCACTAATTAATTCTTTTTCCACAGTATTTTCTGTGTCCATCGTTATTTTCTGTTTGATAACATCATCCACAGTTTCATTAGTGTTTCCAAAAATTGTAGTCTCAACGATTTCAAATTTACTGCTAGCATCCTCGTAAAATTCTTCCGATAGATCTGATAGAATCCGCGGTTCTGTCTTGTGCTTTTCTTTGACGTATTGAACAAAATTAATCGGAGCTTCAAACAGCGGATCGATATCGTTGATAGACCTCTTCGACAAATCCTTTTCGACTCTATCCAACGTAGAAGTATTCTCCAGTCGAGGATCTGTTTCTGTCCTCGTCAAACTTATCTCTAATCTATCCATGTTCACAGACTTCAATGTATCAACCAAGGAACTAGTTTCAAAGGATTGATTTTGCAATTCCACGAAAGTCGAGTCGCCAAAGGAATCCTTTAGAACAACACTCTCATAGTTATTTTCATCCGGCGATTCTCGATCAGCTAAGTCCATAGAAGTACAGGTGTATTCGAATGGAACCTCGTCAGCATCGTCGCGGTTGTTCAAAATCGTGCAGAAAGGTACGTCACCGAACTCGTCGGAGTCATCAGAGCTCTGTCGGCATCCTTCGAGGTGTTCCTCTTTGAGCTCTGTGTTGTCCGTGATCTCCGTCAGCTGTGCAGAAGCGACAGTGCCGCGAGTAGTATTCTGCTTTACAGATGGATCTATGTCTTCTCCTCCATCCTCGCTAAGATCATGATCCGGGGTTGAGGAACTCGGGGATTGGATGACGAATCTCACTTTGGTCAACCTAGGAACGCTTGGTGGATCCTCGTCGAAGTTGTCGTAGAACATCGGACCAGCAGATCGACGGATGTTCAGCCTGCTGCTCCTGTCGATGTAGTCCTCGAAAACGAAGCGGTTCGAGTCGTCGAACTTGTTGAACAGGTTGTCCGTGAAGGTATTGCCCCACCTGTCCAGGCACTTCTCGAACGGTAGGTTAGTCGTAGTCACGCGGAAACACATGTCGGCCTCTTCGTCGTCCAGCGAGTGCTCGAAGGACTCGTGGAAAATGTCGCGGATGGAGCTGACCAGCTGGACGATCGTCTCAGGCGTGGTGTCCTCCTCGCGCGGCATACTGTTGGACATCACGTTCTGGAAGTCGTGCAGAGTGAACAGCAGCGGCGGGTACTTGTCTGGCTCCTTTCTCGATAATGTCTCGAATAAGGGAAACGCGCGTTCAGCGCTCGCATTGCGAGCATCGTTTATCTCGTTTGCGCCGTTGCTCATCTCTTTAGTCGGTATCAGGTCGGTGTCTTCGAACTGTCGCGGCAGAGGCCTGACAGGCTTCTCCGAACTTAAGCTGTGCAAAGTTTCCTCCGACTCTTCGACCAGCCGACTGTCTGGAATTGTTTCTTCTTCATCTACATCCCGGTGACATTTGGTGACGTGGGATTTAACTCTTCGGGTTGTTCGCGGTGGTGGTGGCGGCGGTGGCGGCGCCAGACGTTTTCTCTCCACCTTCTTTAGACTGCTCGAAGACGTTTCTTGAGGAGATTTTACAGTACCGGCAAACTTTGCTTTGCGCTTTTTGCGCCGCGGCGGGACTGGCGGTATGCTTGCTGATGCTGCGCCTGGAAACATTGGTTCACGAACATTTATTTATGTGACGATGAAAACTATTACATTTTGCTTACACTATGTAACTCGTTTTACCAATCGTTTTACGTACCACCCCTGGTAAGAAATATTCGACCAAACAGATTAAGCGTCTATCATCGGTAATTGTTCTTATATTTAATGTGGAAATTCGTTTCATTATTGACAAATACAAATGTAATGATAAAACTCGTTACACATCAACAAAATGTTAATATAAACACGAATATATCTATTCTTTTCCAAGTTATACAATGGTTATTATTATTATTATTATCATCAACATTCCAAAGTATTACGAACTATCCTAATAAGTGGCTATGTTATATTTTAAATTTTATATAATTTTCACATAACGACGGATGACGCATTTCTTTTATTTAGCGAAAAGTCAAGAACAACAGTTATGTTCACGATTTTAATCAAATATTTTCTGCCAGTGGTAATATAGGTACATATTTACATTATGTCTGTAAAAATCTTAGTTTAGATAGCAAAAATAACACTAATTAAAATACAGATTGTACAATTTTGAAACAATTTCCAATATTGTTCACATACGAACAGTATTAGTCAATGAACCACTTAAAAGATCCACGAAGGTCACTATACTTGTTCGATCGAGAATACGATTGAAGAATTTAATCATGCACTAAATTACGTACCGATGCGCGTTAAAGTGGAATACAAAAAATGTTTTAATATCAAGTGCGGACATAAACAATTTATTCTTAATATCCAGAAAAACATTGCTTCACACGCACAAAGTAAATCATATCTTAAAGTTCCCAAAAAATTGTTTACTGCACCAAAAGTGTTTTAAATATGATTTAATTGATCCTAAGTTCACTTTTAAATTGCAATGTTCAACATCGTTTGAACTATTTTTGTGACATGTGTTAATTACGTTAGATTACAAGATTCAAAAACCGCTGTTCAAATAATTAAACTCTCAGTTGAGCTATGATTAAATAGTGAAGTGAAAACGAAATTAAAATTGAGAATATTATCGAGGCACAATCAAATACTGGTAATTACATTTGTGCATATTGGAGAGGTAGCAAACGGCGGCGAGTGTTTTTTAAAATGATCCGAGATCCGGAAACGCGAGACTGACACGAATGTTAGACCGTTCGAGGAATACTAAAGGTGATTCTCTACAAATGACAGTCCGCTCGACCCCTCTCCACACGCGGTCAATAGCAGTGATTCAGTAACACGAGCAAGTTTAAATTTCTTACTCAATGAAGGAAGACCTACGTGAAACGCTAAAATCAATGACACTTGCAAATGTCATTCCAGATGTAACCCCTAACTTCGGCTCTATGTAAATTTCTTTATGTTAACAATTCTAGAAGAATGAATTGTTGTTCACATCAAAATTTCCTTAATTAGTCATTATTCAACAATTCAGTTTACGAATTTTAATATATCGCCTTCTAGTTATTTTTTTTTAATATTTTGTAAATATTTTTAAAAGATTGTTCTTCTTTCTTAAGATGCACTAATTTCATAAATATTTGTTTCAGATATTATTCATGCTTTATATGCGACGATGCTTTTAAGATGTAATTTTTAATCATTATATTCGTTATTAAACGGCATGAGTTTAACGTGGTCAACCGTAGTAATGGACAAATAGAGAGTGTAACAAATGGTGCTGCTTCGAACTCTGAGCAAGGCTTCGCCCGCTAAATGGATAAACACAATTCGATTAGGTTACGTGAACGATGCAGCCACGTTCGACGTAATGGACATAACGACCTTAACGATATTCTGTCATGGTTTTTATGCATAAGTGCATTCACCATCTTGATCATAATACTAAAAAAAAAATAGGGTTGTAAATTTTTGTAAAAATACAACTATTAAAATTTTGATCACTACGTTTTCATATTACATGTTTTGCGGTTTCAACTACATTAAATCAGCGAAATATTGTAGTTGCATCCTATACAATTTTCCATACAGTAAAACCTTATAAATTCTATTATCGTTTTTTTTTTAATGCTTTTGCTTTTTTACATGGAAAAAATACACGATGGAACTGCGGAAGGTTCAGAAAGTTTTGTAACTTTTGAAACATGTTCTAATATCTTTTTGGCACGATTATTTTGTAGAAAATCAAATTGCATTATTATATTAATTTTTGGGAAGTGATTTCATTTCAATCTCTTTGTAATCTTTGTTTTAAAGTTCAATAGTTAAAGCAAACGTGTACGAATAATAACGACGAGTACTGCAGCGATTTTTCCAGCAAGTTATATAGTTTTTCTGGTAATTGATGCATTACAAATTTTCCTAACGGTTCGAAGCGCCAAAATAAAATAGAAACAAATAAGAAAACATTTAGTGACGACTGTTAAAACAACAAAACAGAAAAAACTGCATGAATTTGATCGACTGGCTGATGATTAAACTCCTTTAAGTTTCCATTTAAAATAATAAAAAATAGATTTTATATTATCCATGACAATTTAAAAAAACCAACAATTGACTCATCAATGATGACAATGTAGGAAATATATTTATAGGGAAGAGATGATTTTACAGAATTATTACGTCTGACAAATTGCATGATGAGGATAACGTGTTCCTCTCCAACATTTGCATTAGGATCACATTCAAATACATATTTAAAATAAGAAGCTTGAATTTTATAGAAACTGCATTAAAAATATCGCAAAATGGACAATAACATAGGTGTACATAGATAAATAAAATTATAAGGTAATAAAGTGATGCGCGCGTAGTTTCTATCGAACACGCTTTTTGAGTCTGGATAGAACTGTACGGTAGACTTAATAACAAAAATATATTAGTGAAGTACCTGCAATTAAGCATATAGTCGATTAAATAAAGACTTGTCGGCTCGTCCTACTGACATCGAAGTCCTCTATATTAAGCAATATACTGGCGGATTTAAGTGCGTTATTATCGACGAGATCGCTCATGTATAGGCTGTTTGCATTATGATTGCCCATTGCGCTGGATGCAGCACTGCTGTATGCACTCGAAGTGTTTTGGACTGATGCACCATCGGTGGTTCTCTGAACGAGCCATTTGTTCGTCACACTCGACGTATCCGCTTCCGAGGACACGTCGAATCTGATGTTGCTGAAATCAATACGTGGACAACCTTCAGCTAAAAGATCAGTGGTTACACTATCATCAAGGATATCAAGAACCCTCTTTTTATTTGTTGCATCGAAGTTTCGAGTACACACTAATGGCGGACAATGAAATTAATGTGGTTTATGAAGAGAAATTGTAATTGTGTTGTTATATAATTGTTACATAAACAGTTTCAATACTAAAGGTGAATTTAGGCTTTGCGCTTTGGATGTGCATTCTGGTTGATTTATCCGTGGTGCAAAGTCTAAATACGCTTTAAAGAATGCAATTATGCTTCTATGTTTTAAGCATTATATCGATAAAAGCAGAGATTGTTTAAAAATAAATAATTGCGATTAGAAATACATTACAAATATCATAATTAATTAAAATTCTTGTTATGAATTAGAAATGTAAAGCTTCAAAAATAATTTCCAGATATTCTAAAGAGATATCTGAAATTTATGGTGATACCCGAAGTACATACATTTTTATTTGGCTATGTAAAACGAATTGCAGTGGATATTCTCTTATCCGAAGGTTTATTTTTGTAATATCTTGATACCAAAACATTCTATTATCTAAAAATTTCATTCAACTTCTCCATTAAGTAATAATATATCCAGATGATAGAATGATTAGATAATAAAACATTTGAATACTAAAATATTGTAAAAGTAAATGTTCTTTATCTAATCTAATTATTTGTAGTTTAATATGTATGTATGTATGTATTAGATTGTATGTATATGTATAGAGCGCCCAATTGGAACATGATTCGTTACATTGAGTTAGCGTCATTAAAACAGGATACAATTAAATTTCTAATAACACGAAATTCTTTCCGTAGCTCTAAATGTGTATCTCAAAACGAGAACTCGGGTTAACATAATAATCACTGTCACATTTAAGGAAACACTCTCGGACGAAACGATAAAAAAAAAATAAAAATTACTCACTTCAAATAATTATTTTCTGCCACGTTTTGTTCGTGATTCTGCCTGGAGATTGCGTTTTTGCGAGAGGTGGCTTGCGAGAGAACCAGCTCGATCGTGTCGCACGAGCTCTGCAGCATCTTCAGAGCCTCCTCGTACCGTAAGTGTAATAAATTTTGTCCATTAATCGCCACGATACGATCGCCTGTCGCCGATAAATTTTGTTGAATTAATGCGAACGCCAAAAAGAAGAATATTTCAAGAAATGTACCTTTGTTCACGTTCCCGGCCATGTCCGCCGAACCACCCACCGATACCGCTTGAACATATACACCGCCATCGTTACCCTCTGTCACTTGCAGTCCTATACTGCCACCGTGACCCCTTTCCAATTTAATCGTCTGCAGGATTCGCTCCTCCGCGAAGGATAATTCTTCGAGACGCGCGGCTAAGGACACGGACATTGATTCGTCCTCGGTAACGTGGAACGTTTCGTCGTCCGTGCGAATGTCAGCGTCTAGAATACAGAAATTGCACGGATTTAGATATTGATGTCTTGACTGCAAATTTCATGAATTTTCAATACATGCGATTGTCTTTTCCACTAAACCTACCGAACCAGTCAAATAGAGGCGATAGATAATAAACAAATTCGTAACTATGTAATGCATATACATAATTACAGATATAATTACATATCTATATAGATGAGATATGAGAAATGAAGTAATATTCAATGTATTTCTGCGACTCAATTTTGTATATGAAAAATTGAAAGACCACGCTTTTCTGAAACCGAAATCGATATTGAATAGTAAAATTTTTGGAAAAATACATCTTATATCGTTTAATGTTTGTACAAGAAAATCGTTGGATTACTTCGGATTACATTAGCCTATCATGGCTTAGCTCAGGTTGGACTATGTATAGGTCTTTTAAAACTTTTTTGGTCCAGCTTCAGCTATCGGACGGGATTTATTGATTTCCCGCCATGTTAAAGTTGGATCCTAAATGTATCTGTCATAAAATGTAATCTTCATCTTTAATTTGACCTCTCAGAAGTTCCCAAATGCCTATGGTATTTAACGCAACTAAATTATTTTAACATTATAGTCAAAATACAGTATGCAGAATATCCGGTTCTTACTAACAAGTTTAAATACGTGACCTATCGATAATGTTGCAACCGATCCGGAAATGATAATGATGTTTTCAGGTTCCCAAAAAACTGGAACTTATCGACTAACATGCAACTATTTCCGTTCAATTGACAATTATTTAATTTCTACTGATGAATGTGCAGTTTAATGATTTTATAAACTCTATAGATATTTATCCTAGTCTATATAAGCCTCTGTTAAGAAGTGTAATTTAAGGCTTTAATTTAAATACTCTCCTAGAATTAAATATACATATTGACTAACCAGCAAGATGTAAACTAACAAAAAAAAAGCTATTTTAATCTCGGCAAACTAACGACGAATATTTTAACGATCGTGATTTTAACCTAGGCGCAATTAGATTATAATAAATTATTACTGACTGAGCACATATGCTTCCGGTAGAGGAGATTCTGTAGACCGACCAGATAGTGATTGAATCGACGACTCCGCATCTGATTTTAAGGATAACGATTCCATGTCGTCGGTAAGAGTGGTGTCCTTCTGTACGAGGCTGTTGTAGATCGCTCGCGTTCCCATTTTCACCCCTAGACGCCGTGGTAAACTGGGTGTACGATAACCACCCGGTTGTTTGGATGTTCCGTAATTCGGTAAACTGGAGGTCTTCATCTGGAAAACATCAATTTCCTCCCATTGAAAATTTATATAATTGCACAAGAAGAATTGTTTATATAAAAGAAATTCACTTATTTTACGAAATTATAGCTAACGTTACATTAATGTTCAACTTTTGTCCTATATTGCTCAAATATGTACTTTGATCTGCATTATCTATTGGGTAAAACGAAATACAAATAACTTGTTCTTTTTCACATACTTGAAACAGTACATACCATAAAAATATTCTAAAATAAGTAACGCTATTCTAAACGACTAGATCATTTACATACTTTAATTTACTAGAAAAAATCGACCTTTTAACGTATTATAGAAGCTTTAATATTCCAAAATAAAAGCTTAAAATTTGCTACCCTTGAAATAGCATGAGATACTGGATACTCGTTTATTTTATCAATTTCATCTTCAACATTCACATTCCGAATAAAATGCTTTACATGAGTGGCAGCATAAAATTATATTCTAAGGGAATGTGTTTTACTTAATAAATACATATTGGCTATTGCGCACCTTGTGCAGCGACTTCTTCACATCGGAAACATCCCATACCTCATCTGGAACCGGAAAGTCCACCTTCCTAGCGATTCCAACTTTGTTGATAGCTGCGTATAGTTCTTCAGGATTACCAGGGTTCTCCAATTGATCCACATTATTCGACGATAGAATTTTCGGCAAAGAATATCCGCACTCGGTGTCCGTACCCAATTCGATTCGAGGGCAACTGTAAAGTTGCCCGTTAGTTTTCATTCCCTTCGCATCCAACGAGCAGGGTTCATTTGGAGTCGTTAAACTTCGCTCGGATTCATCTTCCGTGTCGCGAGACTCGCCCTCCGGCTCTAATCGAACGTTCACTTGCGCGTAAAGTGCATCTTCCTCGAAAGAGTACGAGCCAGGCTCGCGAAGAGGATCTTTCGGCTTTGATACTATGTTCGCCTCCTTCTCTGGATTTTCGTTCTCCTTGTTCTGATACTCTTCGAGCTGCATCGGATAGCTCGATCTCAATTGAGTATTTTTTACGGTGTTTGCTATTGCTATCTTCGTTTTACTATCGTGAGACTTCGTCTTTGTTGGTGAGGCTTTCGTTTCCAGCGTTGTGGGAACTCCAAACTCTGGAAATCATAATTAATACAATTAATATGTGCGATCAAATTACTCGTATTCGATGATTTGTACTCTGTAATTTATTTGAATTTAACGCAGCAATTGTGAATCAATTCGTTGTATCATGCACTTTGTATACAACTGTTCTATCAATAATTATTTGCATCATGTATTTAATCAGTTGCAGCAGAACTTTTAGTTTAATAAAAATGTCCATAAATTTTATGATCTGTAAAGTGTGAAGTTCGTAAACTTCGTTCATTACAAATATTGTAACACGTGAATCAAGAATATAAGTTTATGAGATTATCAACGTATATTATTTCCATTGTTTTAAAATTATTAATGGAAACAAAACATTTGTATTACGCCAAAATAAAAAATAAATAATATTTTATCAAATTATTAATATTAAATATTGAATGAAAACCAATCGAATACTAAATAAAAAGTGTAAATACTAGAATAAAATAGCACGTGTCTACGTTAAAAGTTTAATCATCTATAGTTGCATAATGAAGATAATATTAATATAATTTTAATTGTGTCAGTCATTTAACGTTTTCACGAAACACGGGATACCAAATTTGCCGTAAAAGTTGGTACACACCTTTCGCAAGTCCTTGAAGCGAAGTAAGCTCGGAACGTAGCCTCAGGAAAAATTGGTGATGCAAGGAGGTAAGCTTAAAAGCGAAGTAACTTCTGAAACACAAAAATACTTTTAACCTCGACTACGTGACGTCGTGCAGACGTCTTGCAGCACACATTACATTCACTCATACAACCTGTTTAGACATGAAAACCTAAAGTGTTCGTGTTCACCTTTTCCGCACGTTAAATGAATGTAATACTTCCATTTACTTTGTGCGTGCTATACCCTTATACTACGTTGACTTCGCTTTGTATTGAATATATGAATCACACGTGCAAATTTACAACTTCATTTTTTGTGTTATTCAAATGTAAATACTTAAATGTAAACTACATTTTCCAGAATCGCTTCAAGTTATTGCATTCAATGCGAAAGCTACAGTCACTTCGAGAAGTACACTAATATTTCCTCAGAACATTTTCCAGAATATTAAATTGGAAGTATGGAGATGTTGGCAAAATGGATTCATGATATTAATAACAGACCAATTATGAAAACTTTTTTTATAAAATTCAAAAGTGAAAATTTCAGTCTATTTATATTATGTATTTAAATATATACAGAGAGAGAGGGTGTAGAAAGTATTCGTACAGCAATCAATTTCAACAAAAACATTATAGAATTTTGTTTATTACAAAAACGTGTTAACAAAAAAGATGTGAACATATTCTTTGAAATTTTCAAAGCAAATGTCATATAAAAGAAATTGTTTATCTATATTCTTTATGAAACTATTAACAAAACTCTTAGATATGGATGAAAATATAATTTTTGTTGAAATTGATTGCTGTTCGAATACTTTCTACGCTCATTGTATGTACATAAATTTTTCACTTATGAATGCGCAGAAAAATGGATTAACATTTGACGAGAAAAGTCAGTAACAGAGTTTAAATTATCAATTTATCATTTAAATATCTACAGTTTTCTGGACCTTAATTGACTAACTATTCTATTAAAGATTAGAAAATCTTTCCCAAAAAAGCTATTTTTGTAGCACAACAGTGCTACGTCAAAATAATTTTAATGACACATTTTCTAAATTGAAAATTTGCCTTTTTCCAATATTTCTTTTTTCAAACGCTACACGTGAGAATAAAAACGCTAATACGTTTAGAAAGATCTGTGGAATGACAAATCAATCTTAAAAGTCTAAATATGAGTGAACCAGAGTACCTAATGAACAGTTTTTTATGCAGCAACCGGTTACTTTCGACGGTGGTTGTACCGCGAGCAATTAATCAAACGGAGACTTACTTCCGATGGTCCATTCTGAGTTTAAACTTGCAGCGCTTTCCATTGACTTTGCTGTAAACGACCAGACAGCTTTTGCTGTAGCTCAACGTTTGAATATCCTTCCACTGAAACTGCGCCAGCTCGATCCTTTCTCTGGGCACGCCTCCTCTCTCGAATAGCTTCAACCCTTGCGCGTGGATGGCCAGCCAAACGTTGCTCTCAGTTTTCTTCTTGTTCTTTTCTCCCTTACCGTTCTTATTGCCATGATTCACATTATTATTATTATTATTATTATTCATGTTGCTGTTGTTGTTATTGCACGTCTTAATGCGACTCTTGGAGGACTTTTGGGTGGTACAGATGTCGTTGGAGGTCGCGCTCTTCGTCAAAGCAGGCGGTTTCACCTCGTCGCCGCTGTACGGGATCTTTGGAAGATTCTCGCAGGATCCTAATCGCGCGATCTCGATCCGACCACAAAGAGGATACTCCTGAGCCCTATCCTGTCCGTAAATGTCTTCCGTGCCGTCGTGCAATCCGTCCGACTTACTACGCTCCTTGCTCGCAGCTCTCTTCCGCTGCTGTACCAACACTTTCTCCAATTCCTTCGAGTCTACCGTGGCGATGTAATAATGAGACCCGTAATCTGCCAACGTCTGTGCGTGAGTGATGAACATTTCCTCAGCTTTGTTCGAGTCGAGGCCCCGTCTGTCTCGATGAGCCTGGTGGAGTCGCGCTCGGAGAGCTTCCGTTTCTCCGTTGTTAATCTGCGACTGATGTTGATCGGTGTTCAGAATCAATGACTCCGGGATGTAATGCTCTAACAGGAAATAATCGCCGCAACCGTGCTCCTAAATAAAAATGCGCACAATGATAAACGAAGTATTGGTTCAGATTATAAACAAGGACTTTATTTGAGAAATAATCGCTTAATTGTTTCAACTGAATGATTAGAATTATTTGGATATTAATCGTTAAAATAGTATATTCTGTTACTTGATGGTGTGTGTGTATGTTATTTGAAATCAAGCATTATTTAAAAAATTTACTTATTCAAACATTAAAGTAATTTGCTCTAGATTATTCCGTTATTCGGAATTTATTTAGAATAATTCTACATTTTATTCTGTATTTGATCTAATACTTTTTCAGTCGAGTCAACATTGTCAACCGAGTTTAAAATGAAGATTTTTACATACTGTTCATTTTCATATGGGTCTAACTCAATGTCGATGAAGTTGTAAACATTTCCGCAGTTTCAAGCAATTGGTTCAATTAGTTCAACATCTTGCGTTAAATTATCTGTTTGAATCACACACACACACACAAGTATTTGAAATAAAATATTATTTGAATAAAGTACAAAATAAAATCACTTTTGACATTTTATTTGTAAAGTAAAAATAATAAAGAGCTTGAAACAGTTTTTATAACAGTGGTTATACAGAAGTCGCCTCTTCTCAATTTACCTGTTTCTTTACAGTTGCTTAAATAACAAGTAAACAAATTGTCATTTTCAATGTATAAAACCGCATATTAATAGATCTGTCAATAGTTTACTTTTTGGATGCTGTTGTTTGAAAAACATTTTTTTTTAATGAAATGAATATAGAATACTATTTGTAAAAATTATTTATAAATAGTTTAAAATACATGTTCGTAAATATAGTTGACTCTCAATTTACTTACGTTCACATTGTAATTCCCGAATTCGGCTTGAAGTGCCAATCCAGTTAGATTAATTAACTCTGGACACGGACATACCAGCTGTTGCTCCAATATACATCGTCGTATTTGCAGATACAATAGATGTTTTGATATCCAACTCCTATACGAGTAACCGACAATTAATTGGTACATGAACAATTCATACAACAGTGTTTCAGAGTATTTATAAAATGTTTATATGTACACATATAGAAACAAAACGAACACTTCTATTTATGTAATTTCATAGCTGGTTATTTTGTGCACAAAATGATACAAAGAACATACAATCTGATTTTACTTGCATTCGAAATATGTAGTGATTTCAAGTGTATAATATTGAGGGGTCATCGAACTTTGATTGTCACAAAATGCTGTGTTATTTGGAATTCTTTTTAAACAAAACTAACAAATATAAAAATAAAAATTGTATGCACTTCTTTTTCAATGTTTTAAAACAATCTTCCCAATTTGTCTACTGTACTTCTCGTGTACACACTTCGTAGCCAATATAAAAATTAAAAAATAATAATCAGTAAAAAATACGAGGTTTTAATAATCTGGTAATATTAAAAGAAAATATATAACAGTAACAAGAGATATCCCGAAGAGGACCGTATAACTCAAATAAAATTTATAAACGAAGTAAACACATATATAGAAAAGAAATAATCGCAAATTTTTTACTTGAAATGTTATTTAGATTTTCTTCCGGATGTGAAAAATGAATGGTTACGGGTTCTCTCTAAATTAGCAAATATACTAACCGGCAATAAATTTTGAAGGGAAGACGATTCTCCGTTACAATTTTCTAAATTAAAATTGTACACTTTTGTATTTATGACACCACCCACCATTGCCCACCTTTCGCCACTCGGAACATACCGTTAAACCGTTTCGAAAACTTATATGGTTTATGGTTGGATTCTGTCTACGTTTTATAGCTATTTGCAATTTTAACTTGAAAAATATCGACAGCATATTCTATGAGACTGAATATAATTTTTGTAACGTAACTTTATTTTTAGGTCTTGTTTCCTTCTATGTCAGACGACCATTGTTACTATGAAAAAAAATCTTTCCATCGTACCTTATTCCACGAAGAGAAGGTAAAAAGAACCTGAGCCTCAGATACAGCATGAAACTAGTCGGCAATCCCAGGAGACCTTTACTCTTGCCACTGCTTAACCAGCCCGGTGGCGCGACCTTATTCAATTTCGTTTCAGGTGGCAAAATTGCAAAATCACCTGCTAACAGCACAGCCAGGCCAAGAGTGAAGTTTTCGTCCAAGCTTTCGGCTTGCACAATTGCCTGTAAACATTCACAAGATATATATTTTGCAAGCATAACGTTGTTAAAGTAATTTCAAATATTCAATTTCATAATGTAAAATGCTATGAATTTTTTAAATCAAAAGGTACCGTTATATCTGCTAATGCATTATACAGAGAGGGGGGTCTGTAGTTTATAATACAAATGAAACCAGGAAAATTCTGTGGCTCAAAATGATACGAAAATCAAGAATAATCAAATTGCGTAAAAGGCTTTGTTTTCGAAAAAAATGTACTTCAAAATCGCGGTCGAATAAATATTGTTGCGACAGCAACACCGAAGGTCGAACGTCCCTGGCCATCCCTTGAGCAATTAAGCAATATACCTGCGACAGTAAAAAATGCATCCGAACGAAAATACCCTTCGACCCGACGAACGGACAACACGACTCNCACACTTCGTAGCCAATATAAAAATTAAAAAATAATAATCAGTAAAAAATACGAGGTTTTAATAATCTGGTAATATTAAAAGAAAATATATAACAGTAACAAGAGATATCCCGAAGAGGACCGTATAACTCAAATAAAATTTATAAACGAAGTAAACACATATATAGAAAAGAAATAATCGCAAATTTTTTACTTGAAATGTTATTTAGATTTTCTTCCGGATGTGAAAAATGAATGGTTACGGGTTCTCTCTAAATTAGCAAATATACTAACCGGCAATAAATTTTGAAGGGAAGACGATTCTCCGTTACAATTTTCTAAATTAAAATTGTACACTTTTGTATTTATGACACCACCCACCATTGCCCACCTTTCGCCACTCGGAACATACCGTTAAACCGTTTCGAAAACTTATATGGTTTATGGTTGGATTCTGTCTACGTTTTATAGCTATTTGCAATTTTAACTTGAAAAATATCGACAGCATATTCTATGAGACTGAATATAATTTTTGTAACGTAACTTTATTTTTAGGTCTTGTTTCCTTCTATGTCAGACGACCATTGTTACTATGAAAAAAAATCTTTCCATCGTACCTTATTCCACGAAGAGAAGGTAAAAAGAACCTGAGCCTCAGATACAGCATGAAACTAGTCGGCAATCCCAGGAGACCTTTACTCTTGCCACTGCTTAACCAGCCCGGTGGCGCGACCTTATTCAATTTCGTTTCAGGTGGCAAAATTGCAAAATCACCTGCTAACAGCACAGCCAGGCCAAGAGTGAAGTTTTCGTCCAAGCTTTCGGCTTGCACAATTGCCTGTAAACATTCACAAGATATATATTTTGCAAGCATAACGTTGTTAAAGTAATTTCAAATATTCAATTTCATAATGTAAAATGCTATGAATTTTTTAAATCAAAAGGTACCGTTATATCTGCTAATGCATTATACAGAGAGGGGGGTCTGTAGTTTATAATACAAATGAAACCAGGAAAATTCTGTGGCTCAAAATGATACGAAAATCAAGAATAATCAAATTGCGTAAAAGGCTTTGTTTTCGAAAAAAATGTACTTCAAAATCGCGGTCGAATAAATATTGTTGCGACAGCAACACCGAAGGTCGAACGTCCCTGGCCATCCCTTGAGCAATTAAGCAATATACCTGCGACAGTAAAAAATGCATCCGAACGAAAATACCCTTCGACCCGACGAACGGACAACACGACTCATAAATTCCATATTTCACAAAACGGAAAAATTACAAGCCGAACTTTCGAACAGTTTCCCACTCCTCATTTCAAGTTCCTTCCGACACACCCATCTCCAATCAAAAACGCTTCATTTCCTCCACCAAAACCCACCATCCACCAATCAACAAAAAAACCGAGGTGACAAGCGGAAGGGCACCTAGAACGTTAGTCAGAACTGTTAGAACTCCCAGAACTTGTAGAACTCTAAGAACGCAGATAGAACGCAAATAACGCATCGCTAAGACCATAACTGTACTGTAATATTAAAGTGTACATAAAAGCAACCAGCGACTTCGTTCAACTTAATTCCATTTGGAAACAACGCGCATATACAAATATGAATGCACTAATAACTGTTATTATGGAATTTACTAGAGACCGCTGGTGGGGTGTTTAATTTAGGACGTTTAAGAAGAACCCCGGTAAGACGATAAAGTAGTACTGTCTGTTGCTCAGAAGAAATCCGCTGAGAAAATTGTTGGACCGATCTCCACCAACCCACCCATTCTAACGTTCCCGCAGAAATAGGGTAAACTCGTTCCCTTTATTGACAGGAATGATACCCTATTAGTCCTAAGTTAGCCACAACACCAAATTCTCACGAAACAACGGACTTGGCCAATTAAAAACAAACAACGCTACGTCACCGTCACGCTCCCCCGTGGTTGCCATTTTCGGCTAGGAGCACATCAGACGCGTGAGTCTGTGCTTTGTGTGGGTGTGTATATGTTGTATTATTTACGTGACCACGGGTGAGCAAGCCGTGCGTCGAAAGTCAGGAGACGTAGAACAATCAAGAGAATTACAAGAATTATATGAAATGCAAGAGCGTTAGCATATCCTTAAAGCATTAACTTCAGATTCTTCTGACTAACACATGATTATATGTAATTACATTAGCATCTTGATTAACATTCCATTGCAGTATGCAGCAAACATGCTGTACTATACACATATTTTCGTTGTATCATATGATATCTTACGTCTACGTTAATGTATAATGTTAAGAACCTGAAGGTAATATGGGGAAACGAGAAAATGCAACGCTACGCATGAACTAAAGGACGCAAGGGACAAGGGGAATCGGTCGCCCAGCCTCTTCCAATTCTTTTTTATTCTAGACTTCTAGATTATTATTGGATAAGTTACGCGGTAAACAAGGGACGTGACTAGTTGAAATTGCTTCTTTTCAAATGGATCGATATTGTTCTTATTTTCAAACAACAGCATTGAAAATAACGATTCGAAATGAATTACTTCAAATAGTTACTTCTTCTTCTAATTTCAAATGATATTTGCGCAGGCCTGATCAATGAAAGAAGTAATTAAAAAATGGAGACAACAATCTTTGAAATTAGGTATATGAATGACCAGAACATGTAACTTCTACTATAATGGAATCGAAGAGCTTATAAGCCATTGACAAAACGTGTTGATTACTCTATTTGGACAAAAATTAATGTTTCCTTAAAGTCACTGTTAAATTTCAACATTCTTCCAGTAACAAATTAATAGTTGTAAAAGATCGAACTATTATCGGTACAATTAGATCAGTGCAGTACAAAGGAGACAAATGGGAGACAAACGGGAGATAAACGGGAGATAAACGGTGTCCTCACCACCGTGGCCACAGCACTAGAATGACGGAGAAACTTGCTATAGTGTCTTTGTCGGTTTCGGTAAAATGTATCATACCAACGCATGAGGGGCCCCTACTGCGGACAGCACTGAATAGATAATCGAGCCGATTGCATTCAGGGAATTGCTATGAAATACTCTTGCATCAGAATGTTTGAACTTCAAAATACCTGCTCGATTATAAATTACCGAACATGTCTAAGCCCAATATTGAATAAATGTTTGATAATTTCAATCAACGATCGGTTCGCCTCTAGCAATTTAATTTGGGCTGCATGCTCCGGCGGTTTTGTTGGCCGTTTCATGTAATTGTATTAACTAGCTTATGTTAAATGTATTAATAATAACATGAAAATTTTAATAACTCAATATAAATATTTTCTGACACTGCGATATAAATTATTTATGCAGTGTTGTTCCGATAATTAATAATATTTGCGAATAAACATGGAACGAGTCTAAAGGTTTTGATTTGTCCATTAAGCACAATTACTAGTGCACCCTATATATTAATCTGTAAATTTATTCAGCTCTCGAACCGTTCAGGAATAGATCAATATGTAGATATGTATATGTACACAGATCTTCTATATCCATTCCCTTGAAATCTTTAATTTCACTTTTAAACCGATAGAAGTTTCAATCATTATTGCTGTTCTTTTAAGTACTTTCGAAGTTTTATTTTTTGTTGAATGAGCTACGGACCTCGTAGACTATTTTTAATTTTGTCTGAAAAAAATGAAAAAAAGACTTTGGCAGATTCTAAAATTGTACTGCAATGAATCGACAGGAAATACGATATTTTATAATGATCGACACTCGTCTTGTACTGGCCGTATGATTATCGTTGATATCGCATAACTCATGGTTTGTGGATTTGTCGTATGTAACAATTAATCTCGGCAGAATGCCAGAATTTCTCGTGAGTTCACACCGGAATTTGTGGTTTCGTGAATAACCGCCTGCGTCTTGTACTTCATACTATAATTCTGGATAGATAGCCATCGAGCGCACGCGCGCCAATCGTAAAACAAACTTGACGTGACACGGATTTCATTTATAGTTAGATTATCGAAAATTAGAACAGTTAAACATTAACAATTATTTTCTTGTTTACGTAGAGCAAATCCTAAACTAGACTAATTTCTTATAGCAAAAGTGTGGTATTTTATATAATGCAGCACAAAGTTATGTAAAGTAAAATCACACAGAATGCCAAACTCGATTATATATATAATAATCGTATACACATTAATTATATACTAATAAATACACGATCAAATAAATTATTTGCACAAAGATTTTATATACTAATTATAAGAAAATAATTCACAGAAAAGCTTACAATTTGTTGATACAACTTTTATTCATTATTAAATATGAATAGTGTTTCAAAAAGATTAATATTGTGATACTTTAACCCATTTTATTGTATCGTATTATTTGTTTTGTCTCATAAGCTAAGCCGTACGAACAGGATCTACAAATACATATGACGTATCAGTAAATTACGAAATTTCAGTGTTAGATCCGTTCTAATCACGTTAAAATGAACGATAAAATAGATCATCATAATGATTAGTTAGAGAAATTTGTTTTGTTGAACAACTTTTATAATTTTGTATTATATTTATACTTTTATATTGTGAGAAATATATCAACTATACAAAAAGATTATAAAAATCTTATAGATTATAAAAAGATAGCTGCTACGCAATACTCTCCACAAATTTTTCCATCTACCAAAAAGTTCCATTGAGCATTTCTGTAATGAAGTGGAAAAAAGATTAACGAAAAAACACGTTTTATGGAGAAGGAATCATTGAACTAGAATATCAGTGCATCCTGACAAGCGGTCTATAGATGAAAACGTTAAAAAAAATGATTATATTCAATCGAAAATAGCCTTACTTCATATCCTGAATTCTTGAATTAATATGTAGTTCGAATATTTTGTAATATACAGTAAATCTCCCAATTTAATAAAGCGATTCTAATTAAGATATGGTTCACTCAATTGAAATTCGTTGAAATTTTTGTACTGTATAATATGTATATTCGAACACACGTATAATACATAAAACATTTAAAAAAATTTATTATAATATACGAATTGTGTTCGTTTGAATTACAACACATCGTCGTTCGGATACTTTCGTGTGTATGTGACGTATCATTCGAATATAATTGTTCAGCAAATTGGATCTCTTATCATCGAGCGGACACTCTCCATCGAAAACTCTCACCGCTTCGTGCTTTCGATTGAACTTCACCTCAACTCATCAATTTTCATCTTGAAAAATTGATCTACAGTTCTCCACCAAAAATCAATTTCTAGATTTCATTCACTGCTCAGACAATAATATTGTCATCGGATAAAAACTGAATGGAACAGATCAAACTGAAATGTGTTAGTGATTTAGTTTCTTAAATAATTTACCTGGAACAGGTCACCAGCTGTGACTTTTTGAGGATCGCAAGTCACTTCCACTCGTTGACCAGTCAACATTATAACGACTATACGCCCGCAGACTCCAGTCTATTTAAACAAAAAATTTGTTTTGATTAATTACTTATCTAGCACAGGGATTATAATTACTATATATTACAATCGGATTTATTCACTTATTTAATCTATCATAATTATAGTTTTTGAATATGCAAACATCTATTTAATTTGAAGTATCACACTATAACATATTTATATATTATAAGCTTTATTTGTGCCAAAAATATTCCTGATGATATATTCATTTTTTCTTGGCATAATAATTTGTTTCTTCTGTATATTGTATATTATGTAACCATGTAGTAACAAAACACTAAGAAGTGCAAGTTTGTTTGTAAAGTTAGACGTAGAATTCATGGATGTAAAATAATAAACTGTTACATTATCTCCATAACATTTTATTACTCATACTGCATCCTACATATTGTTTCCCGAATTCTTCCTATAGAATTAATTTATTACTTGAATTTACGAAATATAATAATTAATGTATTAAACAATATCTATAGTTATACGATGAGTTGAGAACTCTATAGCAAGTGTAACATATAAAAGCAATGAAACATCAATGTCCGGTATGGTCTAGTGGCTAGGATACCTGGCTTTCACCCAGGAGGCTCGGGTTCGATTCCCGGTACCGGAAATTATTTTTTTTCATATCATATTTTAAGATGTCTTACAAATTTTGATCGTCTAAAATGTTTCTGATATTTTTAATAATGCTAAACAAAATTTCAATCATTTTAAATGAATATTTTATAGCTGTAAATATTTTTGGATTAACGTCAAACGTTTGAAGAGCACTCTTTCCCTTTTTCTTTTAAATGGAAATACGTTATAGGTGTCGCTCAAAGACACATATAATAATAATAATAATGATAATAATAATAATAATAATAATAATAATAATAATAATAATAATAATAATAATAATAATAATAATACATTTTCTAAATATTGATGCAAATCATTCTTCTCTTTTCTTAGATTTAACATGTTAACTACCACCTTTGTTTCGTTGCTCATGTTCGTAGTTAATAAAATGTTTTATTTAATACAAAGTACTTGCTTTGTATAATATTAAAGCAATTTATTAAATAAAAATTATAAATTCTCCGATTATAATGTTGTCCCAATAAATATTACCACCTTATATAATTTCGAAAGCGATAAAATTAAAAAAGAATTTTTGAGATAAATATTCTGTACTAATAAGTATAAATTATTAGTTAAGAGCGTCAACAGATGGCATCACTGATAATCATGCGTGCTCTTTATACATTCTACAGTAACATTTACAATTAACAGCGCTTATAACTTATAAGTGTCTGTTACTAGGAGAGTGAGATCCATTTTCTTATAATCTTTTTTAATATTCTGCGAGAAAATGTTTATAAAAAAGAATCATCATGTAGCGATAACTATTTGATGTAACCATACTTTAACGGCAGCTAAAAATAGTAGATAGAAATGCAATATTCATCGAGGGTCACTCATCAGATAATGATCGCTATCGATATAATACAGTCATATTTTGATACTGCTTTCGACAATTAGAATACGAAATTAAATCACATGTAAGAATTATTTTTTCCTCCTTGAAAAACGTGAAAGAAAAAGTATGTAGGTCGTCGGCACCGAGTGTATGGTCAATAATAAATTTGGGACGGTTAACGAATCACGTAAAACCCACAAATTTACAGCGTTTAACCTGAAAGCGGGTCTGGCAGGACATCGTGGTTAAATCCCTTGCGCTTTGGAAGCCGATCCATAAATCACGTGTCCCCTTTCACTATGTGAGGGTCTATGGTACGTCGAGTGCCATTGAATGATACGAGGAGGTTGTTTTCTCATGAAAAGTCAACTGACATTTTCCAGATGTGCCCGGAGTCGCAAAGATGTATACGGTTTGTAGAAACACTTGGAATTAATACAAAAATCAGAAGTCTTTCTCCAACTTTTTCACAACTATATTAAGTACTTTATATGTTCCATAATAATTATTACCTTGCAAACTTTTTTTTATGCAAAATAAAAATTGTGCGCATTAATTGCATATATGAGCTACATTATTCTATTCTTTAATCATTCGAATCAGTTGAAAATAATACAATACAATTTTAAAAATTCTTAAATGTCTTCATTGTCATCGAGCAACTAATTTTTGTCATAAATGAATTAGTGATCAAAATTCTAGGGACTAACTAAAAATTGTGTTCACTAAAAAAAAATAATTGTGGAATATTATTGCATTATATGCTGTAATAATTCTTACTGTACATCGTTGGAATAGTCATTAAAACAAACTTAATGATTAATTACTACTCCTCCTACTATCTCCTAAGTTCATGTAACCTGCGAATAATATTATTACAAAATTGCAGTGTTCTACTAATACTGACCTAATAAATTCTTACATCAAAATTATTTTAATTACAATTCAATTGTTGGTATCAAATTTCTAAGAAAAATAAAATATTTCACGTAAAGTATCAAAATTGGCTTCTAAATATTTCAAATATTTTATTAATTTTATATGAACTTGCTACTCTGCATGATTTATTCAACAATCTTGTTTATGATTTTTACAATTTATAATATCCTTGAAATAGTTATTTGGAGTTGATCATTCAGTATTGTAAAAACTTAACGATGCGACAGGCATAAAACGATCATAACAACATCTCCGGTATGGTCTAGTGGCTAGGATACCTGGCTTTCACCCAGGAGGCTCGGGTTCGATTCCCGGTACCGGAAATTATTTTTTTCTTCTTGATTTTCTAATTTTATGCATGGTGTTTTCGAACTCGTGGTACAAGTGGCAAGAAAATGATCTTACATACAGAAATAAATAAAAACAAAAGAGTAATATTTTTTAAGACTTCGTTTTCGAGGAAAATAAGTATCATAATATTCTAAGATTTCGTGTCCTAGTATTTCCAAGAAGTAGAAATGGTAGATCATGAATAAATGCGTCAGCCAGAACATAATAAATAGTATTTGTACTTTTTAGATCTTTAAACTCGATTTTCAATAAAACAAAATTTCAAATGAAATACCACGAATTGCGAGACACCTTGTATATTAGAATCTTGATTTCGAAATAATTTTATTACGTTATAATAAAGAATAAATGTTTAGCAATAATTATTTTTAAAGAAATGGATTTTTATAGCGTGCATCGAATCATTAATAGCACTTTTTATCAGGAAATGTTGACTAAACTGATATAATCTAGTGAAGTACAAGTGAAATACTCATACATCTAATCACTTTTAAGTAATTAATTAAATACATAACCTTAATATTTTGTGCGATATAGAAGTTAAAAACAAAGAAACATAAATCCGGCGACGGGATTAAATTTTAAATAAACACACACATACATTTATTTCCAACAAAATTTAAACACCCACTCTCGTAAAGTTGAATAGTACAGATTTTTTAAAATCCTAGCATATTAATTCTATGAATTCTATTAATTTCCTGAATTTATCTCATAAGATATTATTATATAAAATGTAAATTAATTTGTTGTTCAATTAATAAAATATTATTTATACAAGTAAAAGGAAAAATGACTGCATCTCCGGTATGGTCTAGTGGCTAGGATACCTGGCTCTCACCCAGGAGGCTCGGGTTCGATTCCCGGTACCGGAAATAATATTTTTATTCCTTTCTTTTAAGAAACAGCATTAAAATTTATGACTGCAAACTCGTTTTCCTTCTTACTCATCGCTTCTATTTTGTTTTAAAATTATTTATGGAAGTCATTAATTGAATACAAATTAATGAACTGCTTCACTAAGAAGTTGGGATAATAAATAGAAAAATAAAGTTGTTTACCCTTACTTGTCCGACACATAACGTCTTTGGTGGTTGATTGGCACGGACTACAAATTCAGGACCAACGCACTGAGCTTTGTTAAATGACCTCATTGGTCCGCCCACTGTTCTGTAAAGCCGGGATGGCGCCCTTTGAACTGCCTTGCCTCGTCGAGCCCTTGGTCCATTTTTTATCAAATTTCTGAAAGCATATTAAATAGCAATTTGAAGTGAAAAGTATTTTTAGAAGAACGACATTTAAAAAAGTATTCGGTATATGTTACATATTGCACAATGTATGTAGTTATAATAATATATGTAACGTATATAATAAGAGATAAAATATATATAGAGAGAGATAAAAATTGAGTTTGAAAGATACTATTTTATGTTATACTTTAATTTTTTTACTGGTATATATATATATCATAGGAGGGGGGGGGGGGGGGGAAAATT